GATGATCAGATGGCAGGTCATGTAACATGTAAAGAAGTTTTCAGTGAATCTACAATGGGTTCAGAATGAAGCAGGAAGAAGCACTTCCAGATTTGAAACCATACGATCTTGGGTTGATGTCAGGGCTTTTCAATCCATCTTGATTGCAGAAAGTGACCCCGCGTGGACCCCAAAGGCACTGTGATCCACCCTGATCCTCCGTTCCAGCCCAGGGACGACTCTTCCATTGGAGCCACATCAGAAGGTACGAAGCTGCACTGGTCCACCTGGCTCAGAGGGTCCACCTGGGCCCCTGTCGAAGTCGTTTGGGGCGCAAGGCTTGGCTGATGGGATGGCCTTCCCCCGAAAAACGCGATGGGATGGCCTCCAACCTAATAGCGATGGCTGCCGTCTTCTCAAAGAAAACACAAAACTTTCTCCAACAGTCCAACACCTTCGCAGCTCCATTGAGGAACCTCTCGAAGGAACCGAGAAGCTTCCCCCCTAAGCACACTTGGGACGAAACGGGCTGCTTCATAACTGGCCCTTCTTCATCCTCCTCCCACAATGCGCTTTTCCTCTTGCAGTCTTGCCTCAGATGGTTTGGCATTCCAGGTACCATTCACGTGGTACTTCTTGTAGACCTTCTGCCTCAGCAACTACTCTCCAACACACCACTCCAGGGAGGCAACGCGGCCAAAACGGTGCTTCATCCGGACTCGAGTGCAGTCCAAAAAGACAAACAAAAGAGCTACCTGGTACACTCCCCCGGTTCCCACCATGTCGGTTTCACCCGGTAGAAGAGAAAAACATCAGAATCACCTTCCAAAGCCTCTTGGTGATTGGCGGACCGGTTGTTTAGAGCACCGTGTAAGGATTACAAACCACCAACCCTTGCAGCAGGCCGAGAAGCAAGTTGAAATAATTGTCCAGCAGGTACAGTTTGTCCTGTAGCCAGACATTCAGCATCTTCTTGTTATCTGCTTGGAAAGAAATGCAGCTTTTGCAAGAAAGACAGTTCTGTCAGAGCACAAACCCACGCAGGGGTCGCTCCTGGCCGGCCAAGAAGCCTGGGGAGAGTGTGAGACCATACTCCTCTTTGTCCTCAGAGATGGGGACGTGATCTCGATCACACACGTTGGCGATCAGAACTCTCTCCCAAAGGTCCAAGTTGGTGAAAAAGAAGAGCTGACAGAGCTGACAGGATGTGGTTTTGGGAGCACCGAAGTTCCTCCACGCCGATTCCGCCAAAGGGGCGGGAAGTTCCAACGACTGGGCGGAGCCCAACATAGAGCAAATGCGATAGCTTTCCACTGGTGGCTGTCAGGGGAAAAAAACAGGTCTTTGATTTGTCTCACATGTCACATTTCTCCTATATTACCAGGGGGCAAAATAATTTTTGCCTTGTGAAACACAGGTGGATTCAAGTGTCTTCTAGCATGTTATCATGATTGTTCGTTCATCCTTACCAAAACCAGTGGAGGTTTTCTCTGATCCCATGGAAGGTGACTGTATGGGAGGTGCTGGTGACTCACATTGCTCACATGTACCATTGCATGAATCACCAGTCAACCCATTGCGACCAGCGACGGGTTCCTAGGTCCCCCGAACATTGCCCTACTCCAGTCGGGGCACCATGGACCACTGGAAGGCCACTGCGCCACTCATGAACTGGCCCATGTCCTGAAGGCGGCAACGCGGCCGACACGTGCAAAACAGCCATTTGAAGCGAAACAGACCAATCGGGTGTCCCCATCTACGTCACCATCGGTTTTCGACCCGACTGAGGGTCTCCCTACTCTGAGACTCATCCATTTGGGTGTTCATTCTTTCGTTTGTCTCAAAATCAGAGCAAATCGGCAATGGTGATGTTTGGATCATCTCATGCTGGAACAAACCCTATGTTTAATGAACTAAGCCATGCTTTCATTCTTAAAGCTTCGGGAGTTGGCCTACCCGAAGCTTAGCTGCAAGGCCATTGTATGGGTCGAACAACCAAACAGCACCATTTCACCTCAAGGCGAGCTTGAACATTGCATCGGAGCATGTCACCATCCAATCCACTGAGGTCAACACTAGTAAAATGAAGTAAGGCTGAGCAAATGCTAGGTTATTCACTTGGTTGTGTGCTCGAGGATTGTCAATCCTGTCAACAAGAGCAACCCTTAGCATGACATGTTGGTTTCAAATGGCAGGATGTTCTTGTGAATCCAGGCAAGAAAAAGGGCTCCGTGAACCAGAAGGCCCTTCAAGGTTCACCGGGTCGGTCCCAGATGCGCGTCGGTCGCAAATGAAACAGGAAAAGGTCTGACTGGGCCCAAAAGCACACAAAGAACGATGATGACTGGACCACTCGACTCGATGCTTGTGTGTTTACGTTTTTATTAGAGAGTCGAACACAAGAAATGGTGATTAATGATTAATGGAAGGCAGAAGAGTACATAAATCAAAACCTCTAGTGTTGAAGACTCTGAAAAATGGGGCAGAAGAGCATCTTCAGGCTGTGCCAAAAGAAGGACTACTACAACAGAACCTTTGGCAGGAACGGCAAAAGTAGATCAAAAGGCCGGTGGTTTTGAGGCACCGAAACTCCCCTGAAAGGTCCCGGCCTCTCCCAGGAAATGCTTCACATCCGGCCAAGTTCGGCCATCTGGATCGATGGAGAGGGGAGGAGAAACACTCGGTTTTGGGTGACGGCTTGGCTTGGGGAAGCAACATGTGAAGCAACAAGATGCCCTGTTTCGTTTGGGCTCCGTCATTGTCTGTAGCTGGCAGGAAAAGGTCAGGAAAAGTATTCTAGGCAAGAATACATCGGCTCGAATGGCAACCTCAGGAAAACCGGAACGGTTTCTCAAGATTTCTCATATTAAGTGGTATCAGCTGCATTCAAAGGTTTTTGCACGGTCATTTACTTTAATCTGTTGTTCAGGGCCAGCATCTGTCTACAGTCCTTCAGAATCCCCCGACACTGCCATGGCAATGACTCACAAATGGTCACAGCAAACTCACAAGCTAGACGTTTCTCTCAAAACGGCCATGACATGTCAGGTTCATCACTCAAGCCTAAAACCCCAAGGGAAATCACCCAATCACCAGCTGGCATGTCTTCACAGTGTTCCAATAACAAATCACAACAACCCTCTTAAAAATGATAGTTCTGTGTTAATCTCCGGCAACGACCTCCACTACTTTGCAACCAAACAAAATAGCAACAGCCGAGGCAAATGCCAAATCCGCTGCAGGTCGCGCCTGGATAGGGGCACTTCGTCTTGAAGACGCCCAGGTTGCATCCGAACTCTGAGAAAATGAAAGGCACTGAGAAGTCCTTGAAGTCCTCCCATGGCGTCATGAGAAGTAAGCATCAAACTATCAAAGGGAACAACTAAGTAACAAGGGCATGGCTGTCACGTCTTGTCTTTGTCTTTGACCAAGCAAGGTTTTTGGACGACGTGCCATCTCAAGGAAACTTGGAAGAACAAGAAAATCTCAGGCTCCGCCCCTCTAACAACCCAAACCCAGGTTCCCGTGCTTTGGTGGCAGAACAAAATCCACTCAAAGTACCAGAAGCAAATCAAGGAAATGCGGCAGCTGGTCCTCCTTGATGTCTTTGTACGGGGAGTACTGAAAATTGTCGGCTTTTCCATCACCTGGGTATGTCTCCTGAGCTTTCAATAGACTCAAAGAATCCAGTGCTACAACACGGATGGACGAATCAGCGAAACAAACCTAATGTCAGGATCCTTTTTTCAAAAATGCAAAAAGGTGGGAACACTTCTGCATACCCACGCTGCATCCCACACATGTTCCCCGACGTCAAAGCACGCAAATCGCGCCCCATGGCAAACAAATGTCTGATTTCTGCTTCAATGTCCGGGCGTGGCAATAGCTTGATGGACCCCAACCCCAATGGCAAAGTAAAGAAAACGTAATAGCGCCCTTGCTCCTAGTAGCGATGCCAGGAGCCCCTAGTAGCATGGCAGTGGTATGTGATTATCCTCATCCCTGAAGTCACTGGGATCCTGTACTGTCCTTGGATTTGGCCGTTGGGCCACTCCCAGAGCGTGGGCATTGGACTCCGATTGCAAGATTCCCCCAGATCCAACACAGCAACCACCTGAAAAATCAAGATTAGCTTCCCGAACTATGCATGAAACTCGGCTCCAAAACCGGATTGGCATACGCCTGCAAGCCACACCAAAGTCGCTTGGCTTCTTGAGTCTTCATGCCACTTTGAGGAAGACTCCACACAGTCGCATGTCACCTGGCTGACCCCCTGGTTCCCCCTCGACCGCTTCCGCGGCCTTCGCCCGAGCGTCGTCGCACCAAGAATACACGTTGAGGCCATAGGCGTCCACGGCATCGGCTTCGCTGTCCAGCGCGCAGGTCAAGTAACTCGGCGCTTCGCTGTCTGGCGTCGATCGGAGGTGGATCGGACGGTCGATCAGACGGTCGATCCTCTGCAGTCATCGGTTGGTCGGACGGAAGGCGGTTCTGCTCTTTTTGTGTCGCAGAACATGGTCGTGGTAAGCAGCTTACAACTAGAGTGGGATTGTGCTGGTCCTGGTGAACATAGTTGCTCTTATGACCCACCAGTTGGATCATTTCCCAACTCCTCACTCCCGTCGGAGCGATCCAACTCATGACCTGTTTGCTTCCATTCTCCAGAAGACCCCAATAGAATGCAGGTAGAAAAAGGTAGTGATCCACAGTCATTTGAGGTCTTGTGTTGGATTGTTGAAATATGTTATTGCCATAGCCAATAGCCAGGATCCTGGAGGTGTAAATCGATGTGTCAGTGTCTTACGCAGGGCTGCAGTACGAGGAAAGGGGCAGCAGAAGATTCTGGCGCACTCTCTAAAGCCCGCAGGGAGTGTCTAAATTCCAACACTTTAAACAGCAAAGCAAAGAGCTATATATATATATACAGTAAGTACAAAGTTCGGCCCAATCGCACAATCTTGCAGCACGACGTTGACAACTTGACTTGATGTGTGTGTGTGTGTGCCCCTACAAGGTTGCATGGCTGAAGTGCACAATCCCACAGCACCTACATGATACGCTGAATAGCACACACAAAAGTTAATCAAATAATGGATGTGGGCATGGGGCTACCAAGGGATATCCGTCATGCCTCTAGGATGTCATAGCTCAAGTACCACTAGCAGTGTCTCAAAGGTGTAATCACATTCATGGTATTCACAACCTCTTGCCACCTGGGGTCTTATCAATGAAAAAAGAAAAAGAACTGCTGGTCAGAAACACTTGACCAACCTCTACACGCGGTGGTGGACACCGCTCCATCCAAACGCCCAGCTCGACCAGCCAGCACCGCAACCCGCACAGCTCGACCACTCCAGCGCCATGGGGCTCTGCGACCACCTTCCTGGCAGCACCTCCTCCAGTGTCCACGTCCGAGTAGATCAAAGGCACGCGGCCTGGGCTGGGCTCACAAACAGCACGGGGCACGGGCTCAGCTAAATCCTCTCGTCTCGTGCGGCAGCTCCACAAAAGGAAAAAGGGACCCACTAAAAACACCATTTGAGATGCACCCATCTTAGATCACACGTGTGATGTTGGAATTTGAGTGTCTGCTATCGGCCAAGGCAGTCATTCATGCACCAAAACGTGGTGAAAGCTGAATGCTCAACATTCCCCATTTGGATTGGTACTTTGTCATTGTTGGGATATGATACAGCATTCATGCTTCTCATACTTCTCTTGGACTCTTGAGTGCTGCGCCAGTTTCCAGTGTAGCCCGGTTATTGACCCAACACTAGCCCTCAACCCACAAAGCTCTTCAACGTGGTCTCACAGCCACACTGAAGCAGTGAACGTTGCTTGACACTTGAAAGGTATATTCAAAATAAGAAAGAAAGAAAGAAAGAAAGAGAGGAGAGAGAGAGAGAGAGAGACGCAAACCGCGAACACGTTCGGGAGTTGGTCCCAGATCTGCGAGTTGGTCCCTTGTGGAGAGACATGTATATATAACAAAAATATATATATATATGTTTTTTGTCCCTCTTCCTTGAAGTCTCCCCTTTAAAATTCTTTCAAAACAGCAAGTCCTTCTCATCCTCTTCCGTCCCACAAGTGATTGCAGCAAGGTGCGCATTGTGGAATTGCACTCAGCCTGCAGCTGTCACACCCATGCTCGGGCCAAGCAAAGCACATCAGTTTGGTTTTCATAGTAGAGTCCAACATGTCTGCGACAATCTTTTCGAGTTCTTCATGTCAGGGCAGTTTGGTCGACCAATCAGACGGTTTCAATCCTTGGTTCTGAGCTTGTCAACATGGCGAATCCGGTCTTTGAAACTGTCACGATGTGGTCAACCGTTTGCGAAACATGTCCTTCTCTACTGTACAGCTGGGCCTGATGGTTGTGCAAGTCCCGGACAAAGGCTTTCACACAGGGGAACGCTGCATATCCATTCCTTGAAACAATGGCAGAGGCGGCACAGGCGACTTTCCACTGAGGCTTGATGCCTTTGGTCACAACACTAATGCGGCCTGCAAGCCTGCGAAACACAGTCCTGATACAACTGTTGGTGGTCTTCCAAATCTACAGCAACTGCAAACCTCCACTGACTGTGCAGGAACAGGGCCAAGTGTCTTGTCCAACTGCGCCAGTTCATTGGCAGCGGTGAACATCAGCGTGTTGTTGTACTGGGCAAACCTTGGCTGATTTGGCCACAGAATGCCACAGGAGTTGTCCTGCTCTCAACCCTTCCTGCTGCGTCAAGAAATCAAGAACGACTCGAAAGGGTTGGGGGCCATCTTGCAGACCTGCAACTCCTTCATGACGGTCTTGGCAAAGGCCAGAACATTGTTGCCCACGTTGCCATAGTCCTCAATCTCCTCAGATTGACTGCCCACCGCCCCCTACGTCACAGCGGACGGCGTGGCGACGTCCCGGGTCCTGTGTGTAGCAGTCCGGCGCTGGGAAGGCGGGCAAGAAGCCCCAGTCCTTCGGATCAACGTGCAAGGTTCGGGGTGACGTGTGTCCGGGATTGGAAGCCTTGCAAAATGCTGAGATCTGCGAAAGTGAGGTCCACAAATTAAAATGTTCATAGCTCTGATATGAGCAGGGTCTCAAACTCCAGAAACACAAACCAACAACACTGGGAGGGGTATTGTTGAAAGAAGTAGGCGCACAACTGCACTAAGAAAAGAGAACACTCTGATGGCCTATAAGACCACGAGCACCACACCTATTCCGTGCATAAACAAGATCCCTCCGTCTCTGCTTCTTCAGTCCTTTCCAGTGAGAGGTACAATGACGTAAAGGCCCAGGGAGAGGGCCTTCTTCATGAACTTCTCGTGGCTCTCCCGTGGGTCAATCTGGCGCGGACGGCATTCAACACCAAATGGTAGTCAAGTGATGGTGTACCATGATGCTGGTCACATCACTTAACCGTGACCGACGGTGAACTACCCCACTCAGCACCCGTGGCTGGGAGACAAGCTTCACCATGGCCACCCCAAGCCACCAGACACGCTGGGAAACAAGCTGAAGCTGCTGAAGTTGAGACAGGCAGGTGTTTATCACCACAGAGTTCTGTCTGAAAACGAAGTCTGGAACAAAAAGCTTCTGGTAAACAAACACTCTCTGTGCCCCGGGCGAGAGTGAATTTAACATCGATTGCAATTGGATGTGTCACCCTGTCGATGTCCTCTCACCGTCCAACTCCTGACACGCGTTGCAAACCAAACCCGCAGGAAGGCACGTTGTAAAGCCTCACGGTGTTCGCCCCCATGTTGGCCATCCTTGCTTGATCAGATCAGAAGAGTGACATTGATCTGATGAGAGGTCAAAGAAATTGCTACAGCCATCCAACATCCAGTCTGTGACTGGGATGAAACTCTGGTTTCGAAAGCGCAAGGAAGGCACGTACCTCAAATGACCTGGGGCCAGTGCCACAGGATCCTCACGCAAACTAAAAAGGGGAAGTGCCCTGAAAACTCAAAATTCCAGCAAGGCTCGCTTCAAGATCAGCTGTCCAATACTCTTCCAGGGCATCTGTCTGCACGTCCGCTGAGTAGCCCCTGTAGCCTTCCACGTGCCCATCTGTGGCTGTGCCACAAGAGCTTCAACAGCAAAAAAAATGACAGGAGTCTAGCTCTCAGTAGGGCAGCACCGGAACGATTTGTCAACAATCGATTAGAGTCTGTGGAGCAGCTTTTGAGAAACCAACTCGCAAACTATTTGGGTGCTAACCAGCTGTTAGCCGTAATGGTTTTTGACACAAATCATTCCACATCCACATGAACAACAAAAGGAATTTTGGGATCAGCACTTGCTAGAACTGCAAAGCTTGTGCACTTACGATGAATGAGGCACCCCAGTCGTCCCAAGCAAGGACACCTACCAGCCATCCACCACCTCCCCGGCCAGCTGCGCCTCCCTCAGGATTGCCAGGAACACACTTGTCTACCCAGCCAGGGATCTTCACGCTGGGGCCAAATTCGTGGGAATACTTCCTTGGAGGAGGAGCGCGTGGCAAAAGCAATATGGCAAAAGCCCCAAAGCCACAGACTTCAGACCTACTGCCCACTGCCAAACGTCAAACCAGCCAGCAGCCCGACCAACAAGTCCTGAACAATGACCCAGTCGGCAGAAATCAGATTCACTGGACTTTGGAGGCAGCGTGCACAGCAGCTAGCGAGCGGTCTTCCCCCGGCAGCTCTTTTGCTGCTGCACCTCCTCCCCACCTCCTACCAGGGTCTGTGCAGGCTCACCCACGCAGTGTAGCGGACCAAATGAGAAAAACCAAGCATCACTTGGTCTGACCGGCTTAGTCTTTTCTGATGTGTTTTACAGGATTAAAAGAAACTGAGGACCTTGATTCTTTCAGCCACCTAAAACAAGACTGGCTTCCTAGAAGAACAAACCGCACCACTCAAGATCGGCCCCTCGAGAGTTCCACTCACTGGTCAACTCGAAGCTGCAAATGAAAACACTCGCTGCACCCTTGGAGGCGCAAGCAGCGAAAGTATGAAACCCATTCGGCCAAAGCATCTCATTCCGAGGGTTGTACGCAACGCCTTTCGCGAAGAAGCGCTTGCCTGTGACCTCACAGAGAGAGAGAGAGAGAGAAAGAAAGAAAGAAAGAAAGAAAGAAACAAAAAATAAAGAAAAAGAGATAAACGAGATAAAAAGAGGTTAAAAGAGATAAAAAGATATTTAAAAATAAAAATAAAAAGAGAGAAAAAGATAGAAAAAGAGAGAAAAACAGAAAGAGAGAGAGAGAGAGAAGGAGAGAAGGAGAGAAGGAGAGAAGGAGAGAAGGAGAGAAGGGAGAGGAAGAGAGAGAATTTCCTGAAAACAGAACGCGTTGCTGTTTGGCAATGGCCTTTGCCAATTGTTGCAAAATGGTTCCAAGTTTTAAGCACCACAGCTGGGCCACTTCAGTGCATGTGCAAACACTTCCCCCTGCATCCCCCTTCCGTGGGACCTCACAAGAATCCATTTCTACCGGAATCCAAAAGAACACGCAAAACGCATGGTGGTGCACCGGTGCATACCTTGCTGGCGTGGTCTGTCCAGGGCACGGAATCGTAGAGGAAGTTGCCACGGGAGATGATGGGATTCACCGTGGTGTAGCTCTTCGGTGCCTCAGAATTTCGACGAGGCGAGGTGGACGAGGTGATTCACCGTGAGGTGGACGATTGGAAGGTCTGCTTCATAAAGCCAGATATGGCCAGTTGAGGGGTGATATGGCCAGTTGGGGGGCAGGCCTCACCAGTGAAACAACTCTGGGCAGTTGGAATCACCAGGCAGTGAAGAATGCAAGGAAATCGTTTTTGGGAGAGACTGGAGAAAGACAAAATATATATATATACATAAAATTATAACACGTCACTAAATAGCGCCATATGCGACTTTGACCTCTGGCAGTTTCAACAAAAACTAAATCACGATTTCATGGATCTTTCGAGGAAGAGTAAAAAGAATTTTGAATGGCCGAAAGTGATTGGCTTTGAAGCTCTTTGTTCCGGAGATTCTTCCAGTCCAAAATCGGTCTTGGAACCCCAGGAACCCAAGGTGTTTAGGCAGTTCTGGCGCCCGACTCTGGACCGACCAAGGTGGTTATGCCGCCTCCTCCTGGACCTCTTTACTTCGCAAAGCGTCTGGCTGTGGAGGTCTTTTCGGAAGTGACATGCTAGCAGTGGAAGCTGGCTGAGCTGGCTTGGGTGCCTCTGGTTCTGGAGCATCAGCGGCCTGCACGGAACTTGCCAAAGAGCATGGACTCCCACACAGGTTCCATCCAGTCAATCCGGAAACCTAATGATAGCATATCATGGCTGCATTCAGGTCGTAGTTTTGGACTGATACCAGTAAAGACAGAAAACCAAACCATTGGATCTCGTGATCTCCTCTTCAAAAGCTTTGCTTTAAACAAAAGAGTCTCATCACTACAAAGCCCCGCGTGCCGTGAGCACCTGGCCTTGGGTTGAGGTGCAGGGGCGGGCGAAGCAGACTCCTGGCATTGCCAGGCGGATGAGCAGCAAGGAGGCAGCCACTTGAAAGTGGGTGGAGGCAAACGTGGTTGGGCTTGTCTCCGACTGGGATTCAGAAGCCCTAAGGAACCAATACTTCTCCGACACTCACATGGCACAGGAGTTGTCTTTCACATGTTATTGGAGAGATGTCGACGGCCGGTGGTAGTTTTGCATGTCACTGAGAAAATGAGATCTAGGATCATCTGAGGTGTGTGAAAGGCCTTCATTACACTTTCGGGAGCTACACCTGGGAAGATTAACTTGGAACCTGAAAATGGACCTTTGGAAGATAATTTTCCTCTACAATCCAGTGGTTTTCAGGTTCCATATTAATCTTCGCGGGCATATGAACATGAGCTGCTTTGGGTATCACCCACATAAATGACGGAGCTCATACACACGCTCAACGACTAGTCCCTTGTCCCGGGTCAGGTTCCAAGGCGCTGGGTCTTGATGTACGCTGGTCTTGGTTTCTTCATCACCGAGAAAACAGAGTCCCAACCAGTCCCAATCACTCCGAACCTCGGGTCCTTTTTCCTTCCCAACAAGCGCAGCCGTGGTGGGGGGGGGGGCGCGTATGTCTTGGGCTCTATGTAGTGCTCTCGGGTGGAGGAGGACGATAGACCTCTTCATATGTGCTGCAGAACTCCACCACTCTGCCATCAAGGAATGTAAGATGGACTGGTTCCATGGAGCAGCAATGCAAGGACGAAGCCTGTATTCCATCCACAGAATCGTGTCGCAAGATCTCGGAGTCGCTCTTCTCTTCCAGTCCCTTGCGGCTGATGCCACGAATACAGCAGACCTCAGCGAAGAGCTCGAGGACCCATCTTATTCAGCGAAACCCCTAGAACTTGAGAAGGGTCTCTGAGGACACAGTGATGAATCCTCAACATAATTGAGAAGGATCAAGATATGATCACAAATAGTTACTGTGAATTTTCAGAACCGAGAAAACGGCAGTCGTAACCATCAAGGAAGATGTAAACTACAAGTCTCTACTTGTGCCTGCATGATGAGCTTGCCAGTGTTTAGCTACAATTGCGCTGCAGTCGTTGCCGCAACATAATTTGATCATGCGTTGCTTTTGCGCAATGCAACTTTGTGGAGGAGAACCGTGTCCTTTCCTCCCATGAACTACTGTACTTTTTTTGAGCTGGCGTCCAAATAGGCAAGGGCCACACCTGTTATGATCTGTGCTTTGAGAATGCTGCCGTTGTCCAACTCTGACGCACAGATGACAACTCTGAGCAGACTCTGTCTACGTTGTCGCACGTAGACAGGTCTGCGAGGCTTTTCCTAGGCATGGAGCTGAACCCCATGGCCCGGTTCCATCGGCCGCGTCACGTCGCATCGCATGTTCTTCTCCGGAGCGTCGAGCGTTCTTCTGACTCCCGAGGCGGACGGAGAACATGGCAGTGAACGGACGCATGGTAACAGTCTGTATCACATTCTTTGGACTTCAGCAGCGGCAATGTCAATGTGACTTACAGCAATTCAATCGGGAGATGCAAACGGAAAACTCAACGACAAAGACCGTTTCAAAAGCCCAAGTCAATAGCAGTTTGTTGTCTTCGAAGGTGGAGCAACCCAACAACGAACCGTTGTTGGCATGTTCGTCCGCACGTTCGTGGTGTCGCGCTTCGCTTCTGCAAAAAGAACAACTCAGGGGCTGACCCGGTCCTTGTGTCCCCAAAAATATGCACGCCCGACATCATCCGCCTTGGACCGACTGCACGCCATCTCTCGGCCATAGTTCCTGGATGACCAAGGCAAACATGAGAGAAGAAGAACCAGACCACAACAGCAACAAGGTGGAGCTGGAATTTGAAGCACATTGTTCAGAATTTGGGGGACCCAACGGAACAGAAAATCCTCTTGAGCAAATTCAAAAATACCACCATCACCTGCCACTCTTCTATTCTTGCTCAGGGCAAGGACCTGTGACTTGGGGCTTGCGGAGCCCTTGATAGAAGATGTCCGCAAAACCAAGGATGCAATCAATAGTGAGGTGGTTAGGGTATCCATGGGGGTCCCTGAATCGTGTCAGATTCCTCTTGAGCAAGATCACCAAGGGTTTCACTGCCTGGATATTGCCAAAAAAAACTGATTTCACTGCCTGGAATGTGTGATACACAGCCTTGTTGGCGAATCTTGAGCAATCAAAAGTTAAAAACCCCACGAAAAGGTTTGCTAGTTTGCTCCTCACAGCTTCTCTGAGCTCGCCTCACACTCGAAGTCTCCAAAGCACTCAGACAACAAGGATGGCTCGCAGGTACCAGTCTTCTTTGCACAAATCAAGTCATGCCCACAACAATCTTGTTCCTTCCAGTCCACCTCACCACCTCAGTGAAGATGTGTCCGGGGACTTTCAGAAGAATTTATCGTATTAGTTAATTGTTTGTTTTCAAGCAGCAGCTGCAAAGCCGCAATAACCTACATAATCCTAAACGGTCAGATTTACCCGGCAGTCATGCAGTGGTGAAAGACCCAAAAATGGAATGCTACCCAATTCAAACAAAAACAATAAACATGACGCCTAGCTACACGTGCACTTCTCCCCTTTCTTTCCTTTTCTCCACCGCCGGTGCAACTTGCGCCACCATGGCTCTGCACCCTGCTCTTCGGGACGAGGGAAATCAAGGTGAGTCTCCACCATTCGGCTGGCCGAAGCCGCCGCCAGGAGCAGGAACACGGCAAGCCGCTGCACCATGCCGCTGAATGCAAGTTAGGCAAACCTACAAATACTGGCAAAGAACGCGAAGTTGTCACACTTGAGCAAAGGGCCAAACGATCGCAGGTGCACCCAACAAAAGCAAGGAGCTGGCTGATTCTCCGGAATTTCTTTGCGGACTGCTGTGTGGATTCATTCATGGCCCCGGGTCCCAATAGCCTCGGCTCGCCATCCAAACCCCACTTTGAGCTTTCACGTGTCCGTCAGCCCATTGATCTCCCGTCTAGCCACAACTCCCGCCTTCGGTCGGCATTGGGAGTACCAATCATCAACTTTCACGCATTCATTTCCTGAAGATTTGGCAGACCGTCTCGGGCACATGCGTAAATATATACATGTCATATATGCCATATTGCCATATATGCATTGATAGCTATAAGATAAGTGGACAATGTCCCACAAGCATGTGGAGTTCAAGACATGCAGAGCCTACATGCACTCATGACTCATTCACCCCAGCAAGAATCACTCAAACAAATGGGTGGGAAACTGTCCACTGGAGTGAGCCACTATCCAAAGCCACAAATGGGAACGCTCAAAAAAACAGGTACGTGCTAGCTGTTTGAGTACGAAATTTGGCAAGTCGGATCAGCTACTGCAAAGTTCAAGCCAGTCTTCAAGACTAAACTTTCAACAAGTTGCCAGCTGTGCAGGTGGTGGCGCCCTGCCACGGCTGCAGGTCAAACTCCAGTGCTCCCTCCCTACTTGAAACTCCACAGGGTTGATGCCCAAGAAGAGTATACATCGAGGATTGACCGACCGGGTTCATGATCGACGTGTTTGGAAAGTTCACGTGAATTATGAAATTTCACAAATAACATGAAATACTTTTTTGAAGCCTGCCTCAACCCCATCCAAACATCCTGAACTATACGGCAAATTGACTGAACCATACTGAACCCTTTCATGCGGCAACTCTAATCCTCTGCATATGGGACATGTCAAGGCTGACTTTGGCATTCTGAGATATTGGTCTTTGTCAAATGCTCTGCCTTGCCGGCAAGGGCATCACACTCAAAAAGATCCCAGAAAAACAAAGAACTAAACTGTCCGACTGCAAGGACTGGGGATGGGATCCAAAGAAGGCAAAGCAGGACTTCAGTGTGGAGCCCAATTCTGTCGCTTCGCTTCGGTATGTCCACTGCACCTTCCATTTCGCACCGCCACACTGGCTCCAGGCGGCGGCCGCAGGCCCCTCCGCGCGCTTCAGCGCTTGAAGCTGCAAGGCGTTCCTCGGAGCCGGGCCGAGCTGAGCCGTTCCATCCTAATTCTAATTTAGATTCTAATTCTAGTTCTTGTTCCTAATAGCTTCTTGTTCCTAGTAGTACGGCCAGGAGCCCTGTTCGTAGTGTCCGATCGCTCCGTTCGTAGCGATGCCCGAAATGCTCCGTTCGTAGCGTCCGAAGACGACTGGGTCATCGACTTGCCATCTCAGACGAGTGTGGATGGCTTCCCCATGGCTTCCCCCATACCATCGCTTGAAAGAAGAGCTTAGTGTGCAGAGACCTGTTAAGACTTCCAGACCCTAGTGAAAGCGGCTTCACAAAACGGGATTCATATCTAGAGGAATTCAGCACCTCGGTTGATGGATGGGCGGACTCTATTCGATTCCACTCTCACTCCCAGGGACAGAAAGTTTGATCCTCCAACCATTTAATCTTGGCAAACATGTGCACACAATCTGGATGAAGTTGGCTTTAGAGCTTATCCCCGCTTCAAGCTTGGTGAACCCACGCCACCAATACCCAAGAAATCTCAGCTAACGATGTACACACGTGTGAACTCTCCACCAAAGGGTCTGGAAAATCGTTCCGACACCATTTCAAAACACCAACAACACTTTGGAGGATCCAAGTTGTCATGGATTGATGACTTCTTCCAACAATTTCGTTGTCTGGGAAACGCGGATCACATCACTTTTACACGAACAAAATCATCGACACAAAATGTGTAGTTCCTCTGAGATGCCGCCAGAATCCCCGTCCTCGCCCGATCCAGCACTTCCGCTACTTCATGGATCCAGCTTCATGGATCCATCGTTGAAGAGCGCCCAGTCAAATTGCGCCAGTTACGCTATCCAATGCTATCGTTCATCTCTCTTTCTGGAAAATAAAACGCCGATGAAGAGGACCTTCTTTCAAGAACAAACGGGGTGACCTTCTTTGCACCACAGCGACGAAAGAACGGCGAACACCGAGAGCCTCGCCCCCATCGGCGTTCACACAACGACGGACGGCCGAAGGAAGCAAAAAGGGCTCGTCCAAATCCCGCTCCCTGAAACAGCCATGGAAGTGGAACATGGTTCCTTTAGGATGACCATGTTCCTCTAGAAGCAGGTGGTGAACTCCACTTCCATGATGATTCTAGGGAGTGTCACCCAGCCATTTCGCTTCACCGGGCTGCAGCGTGCAGTCTTCTCCCTGCTCGACGCACTCGCTGTCGCCCAAAAGAAGGTCTTGGTCTTCGGCACCTCAAGCGGACCCGACGGGCGGGTCAGTGGGGTGCAGCAAAGAGGAAGAAGGCAAAGGAGTTACAGTTACAGTAGGTCCTCTTTCATTACAGAGATAACACGCACGTGCCCAGCCCGGCCCGTGGAGATGAGCATCCCTCTGATTGCAGCAAAATCAAATATGGAACTTCGTTTCATTGTTGGGATTGTGCCATCGGCCATCCCATTTCACCTATGCGTACAGCAGATTGAGATGCTCAAAAAGCCTTTCAGAAACCCAAAATGGAGGGCAAACTGACCCTTTTCTACTAAAGGGATCTAAAAGGTAAAGTGGTGAGGGTCTATCTCTCGGGAACTGTGCATTTTTTTTTGTGTCCTTAGTTTGGTCATGAAACCACAGGGTCTGGGTACCACATGAGACATCGACAACACTCCGGGTACTGGAGGCACACGCGTGCTGGCGATGCAAATTCGGGATTGCTTAGATTGTCTTGGCTCAATACATTGTCGTGTTCTTTGTCCATGTGGGGTTGTGGGTCCGAAATCCCTCTGGTTCTTTGCTGAGAAACACACAAATTTGATTCACTATCCACACAATCCTGCAAGAACTTTTTCAACGGAGCATCACTGGGCAAGAATCTAAAGGCAATGGAAAAGTCAAACTGGAACAAGCATACTCCACCTGGCTCTACACCGAAAAGATTGAAAGTTTTGGAGTCAAGTGGTCGTCCCTTCAATCCCTGCACCAAGTTTTGGATTGACCACAGGTCTGCTCTGCCGCATACCATTCCATGGGTCTGGGTCTCGGAACATGCAGCTTGAAGTGACAAGGCCACGAAACCTGGCAGTCGAAAGCTGTCACAAATGCTTGAGTTGTTTCCTGCAGGACAAGGCAGCCTTAAAAGTGATAAGTTGTTGGAATCATCAGATGGGAGTTCCAAGTCCAAGAGTTTTCAGGCCTCATCAAAGGACTGAGAATATTACCATTGCCATATCAGTGTTCAAATTCAGCCAAATGTGACCCAAGATACTGTGTCGAACATCTTCTCATTTTGGGCGTTCCCTGTCACATGCCCGTTGAAAAAATTGTTCCATTGAGGAAAACCCACGGGTTCCTCCCGCGTATGCAAAGACACTGCACACATGATTACAACAGAGCCTCGAAACAACCACCGAGACATTGCTGGCGGCCGTACAAAATGCTGATAGCGTGGAGAGAGCGTGTCTGAGCCAAAAGAACTGTTATTGTTGTTGGCTGATATGATCAACACATGGATTTTGTTTTGTCCCACTGGAGCGCGAAAACGAATGAGAATGCTGCGAAACTTGATTATTGGACATGTAAACAGAGGCAACATTGGCAAAAACATATGACCCTTGCTGCTGTGTATTGTGGAAAAGGCACGATACCAATCATGCTGGCCAATTTCAGACTGGTCATTCCAAATCAACAAGCGCAACTGCTCTTGGCCTGAACCGCAACAGTTCTAGTTTGGGCTCAGGTTTGGGCGGCTCTTTGTGGGAATGTTCACCTCAAGTATTCGGAAACTTGTGGGGGCCTCAACAAGAAATGCTCCAGTTCCGGCTCTTCGTGCGGCGGGCTGACTCGGGAATGGCGTCGGGCTCAAGGCCCATCATCACTCAGCCGGCCATCAATCGCAAAAACATGCGGTGTTCGGCATCTGGAAAGGTTCAAGCTGTGCAAGTTCAAGTTAATCTCAAACAAATCAGTTGGCTTTTGAACGTCTAGTAAGCATGCAAGAAGTAAGCAGAGCCCTGCCTTGCGTGCTTGACCTTTGTCATGCATAGCACACCCTAAAATGTACGATCGTCTCTGTCCTTCGACGAAGGCATCTTGTGTCTGGTCACAGTCACCATTCACGATCTCTTGGACATTTTGTGGAGTTGCGATCACAGATGTCATGCATCGTTGCATGGTCACATTGCAGTCCCGGCTCCTCTGGATGGTGGCGTCCAGCTAAGAGCTGCAAGAACTGCTTGCACAAGCATTCAGGAAAGATTCCAGCTTCATACGTCCTCTCCACCCTGATCATTTCAGCAGAAACAAGCTGTAAGGTGTTCGGGCCTTCGGTTTTCTGGTTCTGCAATGTTGAAGTGGTTGCTTCCTGTGGTTGCAGCCGACGAAGTGGACGAGATCTGCTGCTTTGAGCTCAAATGTGGACATGTGAGTAATGACCAGGTGTCATCACCGCAACTTGAACCACTTCGAATGAATCGAATTCGGGCTGCCCATGAAAACCACTTGACAGCTCGAAGCGAGAGACGCGTAAGAGAAAGGAACCAACAACAGTGAACAACATGATGTGCACATAGAGAAAAATGTGAACCATGGAACCAGTGGAAGACTGCAATTTCCGTTGGTCGCCCACGCATGGTGACCTATCGAATTCTCAAGAATTCCAGTGGTGCTTCAGAAACCAATTGGTCGTGAGTGTGCGAATGAGTCAGATGTCAGGTTTGGAGGCGAGGCTGGTTGAGTCAGGATGGTGGAAAAGGTGGAAGTTTGCCA